AAGACAACTTTTTCGTTTGGAGAAAACGGTACCCAAATTATTAGGCCTGTAGAGCCTAGCCCCAGAAAGTTTCAGTAGGATAGAGTTGTCGACTGCAAAGTCACCCCAGAAAATAATCGGGTGGATAAAGATGTATTGTAACCGAAAAAATGAGAACACAATCTGTTCTATGTGAAACCTATTTCAGTTTATCGAAGGCTATTATTCTCAGCGGTGCTTCGGTCATCCTGCTCCAGTTAACTACAGGCTGCGATTAAGTGGAATCAAACTGGCTGATCTTTTCGCCGTGTTGTAGAAGCAAACTGATATCAGAACGAAATGCTGGAACAATGATTGTAAAATTCAGGTAGAAATTTCAATGTTCCCAATAGATCTTCATAAGATAACTTTTGACAAATTCGGCTGTGTCCTCAGTTTAACAACATTGTCGGAGAAAGAAGAAGTAGGTATAAGGTGATGTTTTCTGCAGATCAAAAGCAAAATGTCACAGATGTGACTAAATCTAGGGGTTTAGTCGGTTTCAGTCGCTGTTCCATATGACTGGCAAGTTAAATGTTACTTTTGCGTGCTCAGATAATCTTTTTTGACTTTTGTCCACTCTGTTGCTGTGTGGTCTAGCTGAATGAGTATACTATAACCTCAGTCCAACAAACACCTCTTCAAAAGTCAATCGAGCACGCTGACTCATATTGTTAGAATTTAAAATGAGGCTTAACTATCCGATTTTCAGTCTTACATAATCCTTATCAAAACACTTCTCGGTAGATACTCTTTGTGTGTTCATACCATATACAATTGTTTAGACCATTCCACTAGGGCTCTCGTCGCATGGAACTTCTCGATTTCGAAGAATATTCAGGGTTTTATCACATTGACCAATGAATGTCTGATTACTGAGGAATGACAATGTCTTTGAGCCACCGTACTAACGTCGCCTTGTTTTCTGGGGGACCGATATTTTCAAGGAAAACAGTACAGCTCTTCGAAGGTCAACCTGTCAGCTTCGCTGCAGTTGCAATCTTACCCATAACCCTTCCGTTCGACAGTTCTCCAAAGGACGCGTTTCGCAACAGACTCAAAACCGTGCTGGATTGCGTTCCCAAAAGGATAAAAAAGCGATTGGAAAACTCATACAGGCACACCAGAAGCTTCTACACATTACGTCCTCCCGACGTTTGGCATGGATAATCACTATGAAAATTGCCACAGACTAATCTTCTTAGCTTATTTTAACCGAACAACACATAGACTATGTAGTCATCAGTTTACGCTGGCGTCGGTCATTAGAAAATTGCAGATCGTATTGCAGTACTGAAGCCGGCAACAAGAGTGGATCAGACCACGTGCTGGTACTTGAGAAACTTGTTGGTTTTTGACAACCCACTAAAACATTACCTCTCCGAAGTGCGTCAAGGTGGGAATGTTAAAGCGCAATGAGAAATCACAAGTAATGATGAGGTAAATTTGAATGCTAATAAAAAATATCGCGTTCGTTCCACAAGTCAGCATGTCAGTTTTGGTCGACGTGTAGTGGGTCATGTTGAAAGTAGCGGTGAAACGAGATACTCTGGGTATATTATGACTTAGAAGAGCTCCTAAAATAAATAAATATGTAGGAACACTTTTCGGCTCTCTACTTGGTGGAGAGCTTTGCGTTGGGATTGTTAGCTTGAATATCTTCAATTTCGGGGGCAAAGTGACGCTTCTGCAAGACGTGATCACCACAGTTAATTGAGTGAATAAACAACCAAGATGGAAAACTCTGTTAGCGCATGGGATTTCAGAAACCTTCTCCGTCTTATACGGCACATCCTATGTAATAAATTTCACGCAACCTCTCTGGTACGATTCTTTCGGCGAACTCATATCTGATATTGATGTCAACGGCAATTACCGATACTTGCAGGAGATAGTCTTTGTTGTCAGTCCACTAACGTCTAGCAAGGTCCCTGGTGCAGATGGAATTTGCGGCCGAAAACTAAATAATATGCCTTCGGGGGGGGGGGGGCAATTTATACCATATTCCAAAAGATGCCCTTCAGATAAGACCATTTTTGGTTTGGATTTCATGTCCAAAAGTTTTCACTCATTTCGTGCAAGGTCGCTACGCCACGTCCTGAAGGGACCAAAATAAATTCCATGGAACATAAACAATGATCTCCAGAAGTTTCAAGCAAATAATATGGAGGATGGTTTGGGCGGATTATTCACCTTTTTCTCATACGTCTTTCCGGAAATGGATAGCCCAATTCGGACTGAAGCTGAGGTCACCTGAAACGAAGGTAAAGACAAAGGTAAGGTACAACTTTGTTGTACTTTACCTTTCACGTTTGTTGGTTTCTAGGGAACGAATATCAAACAAACTTAAACACAGTCTAATGTAAATTTTCACGCTGAATTTTCTTTCATCTTTTTACGCGTTCCCGGAGTCCTATTTATTATCATCTAAGTAACTGAAACAAGCCTTTCCCGAGATTAATTTCAAAAGAAAAGACCATATTGCAATACTGCACGATTTATATCTAGGACGATTTCGCTGCATATCAACATGGTGCATACTGCAGAAAATACAATGTTTATATAGGGCTTTAGCATAGCAAAAAAAATTAAGCAAAATACATGGAAACAGATGAAACATAAAAGAGGGAGAGGTAAAAGGACCATATCACCAGGGTAGGGAAAGACTTTCGTGTGGCCTTCTCTTTTGTGTTGCGCCTAAGAAAATCAACAGCATTGAATCGCAGGCACAGTTTAAATATTTTTTTTTGAACAACTGAAAATGCTGAAAGCAACCTCCAAAGATGCAGAGTCGTGGATAAAAGCGAAACTGCTTAACTTGGAGCGTCAATACCGAATAACACGATCGAGACAAAGGTCACTTCTCACTCCTGAACATTTATCTGCTTTGAAAGAATTAAAGGGCAAGTCCGATTTGGTCATTTTAAACCCTGATAAAGGTTCTGGGGCTGTCC